TGTCTCCGTCGGAATATTTCTGCCCCTTAAACGTTGTTGTTATTAATAATTAAAAAAATCCAACTCGTCGGTACTCCCCATAGTTTTCGGATCTAACAATGACCCAAGAATTTTTTTTAATAAAGACGACTAACAAAAGCTGCAAGTTACAGCAATTAATCAAAATATTTTTTCCGCCCCTCCAACTTTTGTAAAACAAGGCCAAGTAGATGTTAAGTGCGTCATCCAGTTTTCACACAACGAGCCTCGAAAGTTCACTCTAAAAACAATACCTACTGGGCAAGTGTTTTATTTTTTTTTTTTCATTCTTTCCGTCTCCTTCTATACTTTTCGGTACTTAGGCTAGATCAAAACTTGCGCTCAAGTACTCCCCGACCTATTGTGTCAGTATGTGTAAAACAATGAGTGACTAGTGGTGCAAGAAAACAATGTTACGTGCCTATACGTGTTTCAATTCTTTTGAAATTTCAAAAACTAAAACTCTCATACATGATGGCTTTTAATGTTGTACAAAAATAACCATTGTGCATTATTATTCTCTGTTTCAACTGGGTAAAACCCCTTTACCTTAACGAGAACACTTGAAAAATCTAAATTTTTTTTTCTCATTTTTTCAAGTCGGATGTGTTACAAATATTTACAAATCGTGTAAGTACATATAAGTATTTGAATGCTATGATACTTATATACAGATATATTAGATTGAAATTAAATTAATGTACACCATATCAGATGGCTGATAACAATATTCAACTTTACGGACTAAATATAAATAAAAAAAAATTATAAATAAATATAAATTAAATATATATATATTTAAATATCATATAAATAAATCATCATAATCATCAATCATCATATCATATAAATAAAAAAAAAAATTATAAATAAATATAAATTAAATATATATATTATTATAGATCAATAATGGAAATTATATTAAAAAATAGTATCACAGTTTAGTTGTGCTAAAAAAATACGTTTTCAATATTGGGAATTATTAAAATTCATTGGAATAACGCGACTTTCATTATGTTTTCATTTCTTCTTTTGATAAACTATTTTAATTGGCTGGTTTTTTTTTTTTTATCAAATATATTTTAATTATTTGTACAGTTGATTTTTATATATATTCATAAACTATGAGGAATATAATGCACATAACACATAAATTACATATATCAATATTGACAATAATGTACCTTTATTAAATATATTATATACTATTAAAACTTATACAATATAAAACCACTATGAGTTGTTCGTCATAGCATGTATAAATACTCGTATATAAATAGTTAACTTTTATTTTTAATTTTAAATTTAATTAAATTTGATATTGGCTGGTAAAAAACAAAAGAGGCTTGATGACAATTTTACTATATTTCTGGAGAGCACAAACAAAATTTCCATATTTTCTTACCTTTGACATTGGCGCTTCGGTATTAGGAATAGGGTTATCATATATTTCCATTCTATTACATATTACCTTACTAATCTGATACTAATTACATAGAAATATTAAATATATTTTTTATCATAATGAATTAAACTAAAACTTACCTTTTTTGTCAATTAGCTCTAATTTTTTTTATTTATTTATTTTTTTTTTTTTTGTGATAAATGGCGTTTATAAGATTTCATTAGATTTTTGCAACGTATGTACAGGTTACGTACATACATACAAACAACTTTAATCATGTTATCACTAATATCAATATATAAATTGGTTAGATACTCATGTCATATTATTATTTTTATAAAAATTTATAAGTAACAACCTTAGGGGCTAATCACCATGCATTTGTCCCTTAGTCCCTACAATTGTTAACAGTGTTGCTTATACCCTTAAAAAACGTGATTGCCCCCTACTTTTATTACAATTGTGTGGCTTGTTCCAAAAAATCTAAATTCTTGTACCTACTAAATCTCATTACTAAATAGTCAAAACAACACAAGTGCTAGTGCTAGTGCTAGTGTGATCGAAAGATCTAACTGTCGGTTAGCCCCTTTTACCTTTTACCAATCAAATTTTGAATTAAAACATAATATAATCATTGATTTTACATAATTTTTCTTATTTTAAATTTTAATTATTTTGTTATTCCTTGAACCGTATTTTTGTACTTAAGTTACTTGGGTACTTAAATAAATTATGTAACATTATATTATTAATTATAACACACTAAATTGATGGATGAAACGTATTTATTTTATTAAAGTGTTATTTTTCCTTTTGCCAATTATTAGAATTTCTGAAGAAATAATTCTTCATCAACATTGTATGCAAAGTAATTTTTAGAATTTTTAGAATATAAACTATACAAAAGAGGTACAAAAATTCTTATAAAATTAAAAATGTATTTATTTTAAAGAATTTATTTTTCGATTCTCTCTCAAGTTATTTTGATATAAAAAAAAAAAAAAAACGGAAAAATCTTGGAAGCAACACAAAATAAAGTCCAAAAGAGTTTATATTTCTTTTGAAACAAGTAAATTCATATTTATGGCTAATATTTTGTGTATAAAGTTCATTCTGATCCGATACTTTGTATTCAAAATTCTCAAAAATTGAGGTTTATTGTTTTAATTTTAACCTAAAGAATGGCTTTTTAAATTACATTTTGATTTAAAATGAATACTGAATTTTATATATAAAAAAATATAGTTTTAAGTGTATAAAACGTTTTCAATAAGGGATTCATAAATTAATGATAGTTACAGTTGTATTAAATAATGTTTTCAATACTTATATATTGCTAGAACAATCAATCAGAATTGTTATTCAAATGTATAGTGATTCGTGATGAAGTTGATAAATTAAATATAAACTAATAATTTGACTATCACAGAAAATAACAATCGTTCAGTAATAATATCTTAAAATAATAGGTTTTTTTTATCTGAACAGCTAGTTAACTTTATATATGGATAAATATAATATAATTACCTACAATTGACTAAAAATTTTAATTAATATATTATTAAACAATATGTTATACATGATAATTCAATATTTGTGCATTGATCATTAATTAAAAATGAATATGTTTAATAATATATAAAAAAAAAAATAATAGTATCGAACATAAATTACTTAAATACAGATATATAATATATATATATATCAAACGTCAATTACATTAAACACTTATTGAAGAGAGGAAGGTGTGTCATATGTCTGTACATTAGCTACCGTACAAGAACAGTGTAAACACGTCAATAATGGTCGTCTGTATTTTTTACAAACATTGGCGACATTACTCAAGTGAAAACTATATCAATTTTACATCTACCTATGTATTTTTAATTAAACGTTTTTAGTAAAGGGTTCTTTCATATACATTTATTTATTTACATTCATACATTTCATATATATATACCGGTTTTTATTTTTTAATTAATTACGTTTGTGAAAGGTTACATTCAATTTCTATCACGGTGCTCAATTTAAAAATAATATTCATTATAATTTACTCGGAAAATGTTGTAATCCATTTGAATGACGTTGAACACGGATATTGACGAGTATATCATAAAAAAAAAAATAAAAAAAATTATAATAATAATACTTTAAATGGGGCGAAACATAATACCTATTTTGTTTTTACAAAATATAGTATTTATAGATTTTACACGCTACAAGTTATATACATTTTCATTTTTATTATTCATACCATGATTTAAACGTACTTATTATTATAATTACAATGCATCTGAAAACTATATATATTATTCAACAAACCAATATATGATTATTTACGTGAAACTCAATAATATTATTTGGTATCAGCATTATACAAAGCTATAAGATGAGCCGAACATTTTTTATTTCATAAAAGTATAGTAAGTGAAACCCAAACTATCTATAATATATTTATTTATGTGAAATTATAGAATAATTAAAACGATTTATTAATATTTATAACAAATTCAACTTAATTTTTACGAACGAAAAAAATTACATAGTTCAAACTTGCGAAAATCGACTCACGATCAACACTCATAACGCAACTTTCTAAGAATGACTGGATAACAACCATAGAATAAATATTATGTAAATAAATTTATTATGACTTTATCATAATTTTAACTTATGTAAGTCGGTGATTTCTATTACACATTACCCATATTTAGTAAAATATAAAATACGATTTACCTATTATCAATATACATATTTTTATGTATTTAGTATATCATTATTAAGGAGAACCAAAATACAAGTACTTTTTCAAAATCTATAATATTTTTATAAAAAACTTATTGGCTAAAAATATTTAATATTTTAGTGAAAATTTAAATGTGTGTTTTATAAAGATCACCACTACTCATATGAGGTATATCTTAAAATAAAATGTAATATGAATATTCTAATGTATTAAAACATTAAGTCTATGAATAAAAGTTTTTCAAATATATTCATTTGTGATAATAAACATTAAAACACAATCATTTTCTAATGATAAAATAACTTGTTTTTTTGTTGAATTTTTCTCAAAACCACAACTCAAAAATTGTTTTTCCCTATATTTATTAAAATTCTTCATAAATTGTATAAATTTTGAAATATTTTAATCAAATTAAAATAATAATTTTCTTTATGCTTGAATCTTCAAATTTTGAAAACATGAATTTTATACTAGTAGATGCATTTATTATAATAATAATAATTTTATTCTTACATAGATTTATTTATTTGCATATTATGGATTATAAAATAATTACTATTAAATTATCATTAGTTTTTTAATTTAACTTTTAATAACTTTAACTTTTTAATTACTTTTTTTCATATTTACCAATAATATTATTGTGACCAAACAAGTATTTCATACTAATACGAACCATATATACTATATATTATAGAATATTATGTGTATGTATGTATATATATATACTTTTTAGGTATAAAAATTATGTGACTTTTACCGATATTTTCACTCTCTTTAATATCGTAAGTACTTACATTAATACATTTAAGATCCATTCTCTGATTTTAGACGATGCTATACGCCTTGGCAGACTCTCTTTCTGTACTTGGCAAGGACACGGAAGCCGAAATGTATTACAAACAACTGCTCCAGGTCAACCCGACGGATGTGTCCGCCTTCCTGACGTATGGCGATCTTTTAGCCAAAAATGTAACTATACATTTTTTTTAAATCTTATGCTCACATATATAAACTTGTAGTTCTTTTGAAATATATATACACACACACAGATTTCCGAATTCGTAAACAGTGATACGATTTTATTCAATTTACGAACTTGCGTAAAATGTCACCGACGTATTATACTCATTTTGACAGTTCTATACGATGTCATCTCTAACGTCTCTAATGTCCACATAATTTTATAAGAAATGATTGATTTATGTTTGAAATATGTCTTGATTTCTATTAAATATATTTTAGACACGATGTTATACGAGTATATATATACAATTTCAAAACGTGATAAATTTAAGATAACATAAACGTTTAATTCTGGTTAGTTTTTAATGTACCATGCTTGGTATAAACTATATCGAACTGGTCATATTCACTGTCGATATCCACGCATACATTTGTGTGACTTTTCATAGGACCACACATTTTTATGACACATATAATTCGTGAAAAACGTTATTTTCGCATTACATTGAAAGTTCGAAAGCTAAATTACGAGCAACGTGCAGTGTGCACATCATTAACGTAGTTGCATAGGAAAGGGCTCCGGTGTAGTAAGTAAATTAGGCCCCTAACTAGTTTTTTATGAAAGTTCAAAGTATATACATTATATTCTTTTTTTTTACGTGTTGAACTATTTTTACGTAAGGAGCGAATATTCTTACAAACCACCAACCCACCTGTTTTTTAAATACCTCTACATACCAAAACCGTTCGCTTTGCTCGCATTGTTATAATAAAAAACATATTAAACAACTAATTTAGATAATCGTCCTCTTTTTTTATAGTAATGATACACCTACATGCATAATTAATTTACTTAAGTCTCATCATTTTTTAACATAAATTAAAATAAACTATTAGCTAAATGAAACTTTCTTTTTTAAAAACCTGTTAATTATATATTATAGGTTATGTATAAATAACATACTATACATGTTACGTAGTATCTACTACACATATGTTGTGATATTTAGATATTATGTAGTCTATTGATGTCTGTCGATTACAAAAAAAACAATTTTATTCTTCGTATAAAAGATTACCCACCTATTTGTTAACCACTCATTCCCAAAATATTGATGGAGCAGCCGCTGCTTAAAAACATTGTCAACACGCCACGGTCCGAATGCGTAAGTATAATGAAACGATAAATTAATGTAATTTTAAGGCAATCGAAAGATATGGGCAAAGTAAAAATAAATTCAGATCATTACTATAAAAACATATTGCACATTGCGTGAATTATTATTTTACATTAATTATAACTATTAATTATTGATTATAACTAACCTAACCATCGCGTACGATCTGGGGATTTACTGTTAAACGCATCAACATTGTTAATTATTTTAAGGAAGTATAGTCTTAGAAATGGCCAAGATCCCTCGCGCTCCGGGGCCCCCGGACACTGCTCCGCGCTTCGCCCTATAAAATACACGGCACTGGTGCACACGTGAAAATGTATTTAGTACAAAACGATTCCTTACCGCACCGCACTGTTCGAACCGTTCGTGACGTGAGTGGTATGCAAACTCGATAGTCCACTGGAGTGTGCACCTACTTACCGTTCGACCAAATCGTATTACTGACATCGAACAGTCAACACGTGCGAACAACAATACGTTTTATATTGTGCAACAAGATCGGAACAGTGATAATACGTACATTTATGTCTCATTAATATTATACGTACCGTATACGTATCGGATTTGTAATCATATTACGGTGCGTACGTCGGCGGGTTGATACCCATGTACACATTGCACACGCTCGTTTTTATTGAATGTAATGTATTGCTACGTGTTCGATAAACACACGATACGTCATCTTTGCCCGACTTATCTGTCGGTGATCTACAACAGTACGGCAAATACGAAGTTTATTTACATGCGTGCACTGTGTACAACTTAGCGTGCCATACGTGGTATAAGCTGCTTACGCTGCTGTTGCCGATGTAATAGTTTTAATTAAATTTACCACCACCACCACCACCACCACCACCCTTCGATGCGACCGCCACCACATTTCCATTGTAACGTACGCACCTATTATATTCTATCAGATTGATATAATATCGTAAACGACATGACGGTACGTGTATTATTATAATCAATTTATGACACATCGTCGTTACCCAACGAACCCGTTCGAGTTCGAAAAAAAAAAGAGTATGTTCTCCACGACGGCCAAAGCGTTAAGCTGAAAACGGGTGTTTTTTCGTTCAACACGTAATTAAGTTTGTTTAAAACTTTTTTTTTTGTACAAAACCGCAGAAAAAAATTTACTGGACGATCAATTTTCGGACACCAAAAAAATGTGTTCTAGTAACATTCTTCTGCGCTTTAACCGAAGTTACAACAAAATAATTTTTATTTTTATCGTATACACTGGTCTTAAGTTACACTTGATCGTTGGAATTCCGCAGCTATAGCAGCAGTACATATTTATGATGAGGATATCAGTGATCATTGCACCACAATTCGAGAAGCTTTATTTACATTAAGTTTGCGGCTTACACGTACTTATTAGACGAGAGTCATTGAATGAAGCGCCTTATACATACATACCACATTCAACATATTTTCTACAAAAATATTGAGAAATATTTTCTTCGCATCTGGTACTTGTTAGCGTTTAAAACCTGTTGTAAATATAAATTTCGTTACAATCGTCGGATCGATAAATATCACATTGTACACTTCACGATTAACAATAGTTGAAAAACGAATTATAGTCGAGTCCCCTCGACATTTTAAACGGAATCATAATTAAGAATTATGTTTTCATAAATTTAAATGAATTCAAATGAGACACAGTGTTTTATCTTGAAATTGTATTACGAATATTATAAACCATCGTCATGCGTCTTAGGTTAATTATATATTTGCACATAAACACGATTTCGGGTAGCTGCTAGGAACACAGCACAGTTTCAGTCTCGCGGTATACGAACAGTGATAGATTTACTCCACGAGTCGTGTAGGAGGAGGTGGTTCGACCGTCAAATACGATTATTTTTACACGTCGAGTCCGCGCAATCGGAAATCGAAACAAGCGGTGACCAGAGCCGTGGAGAGAGATCAATGGCTCCAGGGACAAATTAATCTAGGCCCTTCTCACGCGAGATATTAAACTTGCCACTGACATCCCGTGTCTTATTTTAAATGTGTATGTCGTAAGCATATAGTCAAATCATACGGACTATAGGGTATACAATATACTCGTACTATCATCTACGTCTATCACATTTAATTAGTTATTACCTGTATATATTTATAATTTCATTTTTAAAACAATAGTAATAATGAACATGAAATTAAACGTATTATTTAATATACCAACGTGTTTTACATATTAATAAATAATATATTGCTTTTTTATAAATAAAATAGCAGTAAATAACTAATAGAAAATAGGTATATTTAAATTTTTTAAATAACACAAAATATTTTTTTATTATTTGCCTGACATAAATAGGCATTTAGTCATATTCCTAGTCATTTAATTAAATGACTAGGCATTTAACTTTATTTTATTTGACTATAAGCCTACATGTATACCAAAAAGATAATGTAATCGCAGTCATAGTTATTCCACAGACTAAATGAAAATAATTATTTATAGCCTATGGATCTTTCTTTAAAATGTTATTTGTCTATGTTTTAGATCAATATCGTAGTATTCACTTTATTGTAGACTCGTTATAACTATATAGCGTACGTTACAATTATTTGGGTAGGCCTTTGCAATGATTCATGTTGGTAATCCATAAATAGCTCTATACCAATGGTGCCCAACCCACGGCCCGCGGGCCACATATGACCCGCGAAAGTATTCTATGTGACCCATTACAAATTTTCTAAAATAAAAAAAATTTTAAAAATGTATGAAAACATTTTTTAATTATTTATTTTCATATATTATTTTTATTTAAATTATTCCAAAAAATACAATTATGTATACCTCAATTCATAATTTTTTCAATAGACAGTAAAAGATAAGAAAACAAGTCCAATATATAAAATTATTTTAGTACTTTTTTATTTTGTGGCCCGCTTGAAGATAATTATTTACCAAAGTGGCCCGTCAAAGGTAAAAGGTTGAGCATCACTGCTCTACACCATGACTGAGGCGTAGTGAACTTAGTCAGATCCCAAGACCTTGGGCTACAGCCCCTTGCAGCCCCCCCCCCTCTCGTCGGGCCTGGTGGTGACGTTTTCGGACCCTAGGACCTGACCGGCAAATGTCCAATATTTATCCCCGTCAAACCCGTCACCGGCGTACGAGTGCACTGCGTTGACTTTGGGTTGAATACGGGACTGTCGGCTCCGACCTAACCGGTGTTGTTTACTTCCCTCGGCAGAGATCACGGATATCCGAGGCGGAGGAGTGGTACGGCAAGGCGCACAGGACGGCGCCCAACGACCCGGTGGTCCGGACCAGGTATGCGGACTTCTTGTCGGCGGTGGGCAGACTGGACGAGGCGGTGGACCAGTACGAAGCGGCGGCCGCACTGGCGTCGGACGACCACCAGATCGCCGTGAAGACGGCCACGGCGTTGCGCGAGGCCGGCCGGACGTCCGAATCGGAAACGTATTACAGGAGAGCCGCAACCCTATATCCGCAGGCGAGTTTTTTACGATACATTACCTTTCACCCCATTTACACCGCCTATCAAATTTGTTCGTAATGAAAATATTACTATCGTATTAACGTGTAGATCTCGCGAAACTAATACGTGGCCGGATCGTTGTAAAATCGATATTCCCGCACGACGAGTTGGACCGCAAATCCGTTTTTACGGACCCAATGAAGTTTGTGCCGCAACGAACGAGTTCGACTTTTTTGTTTTATCGTCTGACGATATTTTGTACTCACAGCCCAGATACGTGGGATTTACCATCGAAATGTACAAGGGATAACGGAAACCCGTATAGTAGATTGTTCGCAAACATAAATAAACCTACCTACTTACGCAGTCGTAAGAGCTATATCTAAACCAATGTCATCTGGCTTGGAAAAAATGTTTCGAGTGAGAGGATCCACTCGGTTATAACAACGGTAAAATAAGTACAGTAAGATTTACGTAATTTACCGAGACCACATCAGTACTACCTTTTTACAGGATATTCGATTTTGCATGGAAAACAATGCTTGTATCGTGGTATTTGTAAGGTAAAAGAAACTCGTTGCGTAATAATATAAAATAGAATCAAATTTTAATTTCTAAAAAAGAAAAGAAGTACTGATAAAACATCTGCAGTGCAGATTCTGTACGTATAAGCGAAATATTACGTGCATGTTGCGGTAAACAAACGGATTAAAAATATGATATCAAAAGAAAGTCTAACGCAGTTGACTGTGTTGAATTCGCAATGAAAAAAACTTAGTTTTGTCTCGTTCAAACTCGAATTGTAATATTGACATTTTTCGGGTGAAAGTCATCGAATTTAAATGAGAAAAACTATTGCATACATGTTTTTTTTTTTTGAATAGTAGTATATTCTGAATAAAATCGCACGTAACGAGATTAAAATAATTCAAAACCTTTTTTTTTTTTTTTATTATTAATTTAAAATGTTATAAAATGATTGGGTAAAACACGGAAAAAATCGAGTTTTTTCGTACGGGAATAATCTAAAATATGAAACAAGATAAATTTTCGTTTGGACAAAACTATAATAATATTACAAAACTTTCCAGTAAATAATCACTTTGTTTGCTACCATAATTTTTTTTTTAGCAAATAACACTCATTTTAACGTCAATTTTATAGTAATTTTCATCATCAATATGACTTTATACCAAACTCAGAAAGAGTTATAGCCGCTATAGCTACACTCAAGGTCCTTCGATTTTCTCAATTGTGATTCCTTTTCCCAATCTATCACTATTTCATTATCTCTAGTTAAGATCCAAATCTAATCTAACTCTATATATTTACCGAGTTCAATCCAGTCTGTCGTCTTTTGGACCATATTTAATTCTCAAACATTGTTTGTTTCTTCTCTTTTTCTTGCATATCCAAAAAACTATAGTCTTTGTCACTTTGCGTAATTTATTATTAAAAAAGTACCTTCTTCATTTTTTCTTATTTATATATATTTTCTTTTTCACTCATAATAATGACTCGCGTCAAGTTGTAATTATCAAAAAAATATTTTTATTTGTATTTATAATATTATGAAATAATTTTACTGCTGCGTTTTTCGTTGCAATAATAATTTTCAGTTTATCACTGTCCTTAAACAGCACAATTATAATTTCGTACGTAAAATATAATTTTAAAAATATATAAAATTCAAACAGTAAGCCATGTAGTCGGCTTACTTAAAGTTGTTATAATCGAAGTAGTGTCTGAGGATAATCCGCAAAACGTTAATGTGCAACTCATAAAAAAAATATAATAATAATAATAATAATAAAAAATAATAACACTAGAATATTTTTGCGAAAATATACCATCATTTATTGTAAACAATTTGTTCGAAATGCATAAATAAACCGAAAAAATGAGCGTAAAAAACATATTTTTTCACTCGTAATTACGTATAAATAATATTCAATCACTTTCCTGGTGCACGAGGCGCGAATGTGGTGAAAAAAATGTAAAAAAAAAACGTTCGTTCGCGATAATATCAAGAAGACATTAATTTCGTGCCCTGTCGATTATGACGTGAAGATTTGTAGATGGCGCGTATAACGTACTCGATGTGCGTAAGAAATAACGAAGAGGGGAAAAAAAATTTGTACAACGAGAGAGGGGAACACGCTTTCGTGTCGATAACTTTGTCGATAACTCGATCGGTGAACCCGAACGCAGATAGATAAATGTATTCATTTATTTTTTCGATTTTTTTTTTTAACAACCTAACGGTGCGGCTGTTTGCAGGACGCGGCGAGTCACAGCAATTTGGGCGCCATACTTCACATCAATAACAAGTTGGACGAGGCGGAACGGTCGTACAAGAACGCGCTCCGTCTGCAGCCGGACGACGCGACCACATTGGCTAATCTTCGGAAACTCAGAAACGTCCACCACCGGCGTACGGTCAAATGATTGCCGCCACACCCGTCGATCTCGTCGCGTGCAAAACACTATAATATTACCGTAATGCATATTATTATTAGTATTATTATCATGCGCGTTCGCGAATCTCCTGTACGTCTTTTGTTTTACCATTATTTTTCCGTTGGTTTAGCTTTTCTTTTATTTATTTATTTTTTTTTTTTTCTAAATATTTTATATTGTTGAATCGTTGAAATCATTACATAACATAAATAAATATGTATGTATGTACGTATACACAATTTCGTCGAGTGTTCATATATAATCGAGCGTACTGTATTTCGTACGTCCGTTTCAGTTTTCCGGGTCGTGTCTACTACAACACATTTTGAGCGTTTCATCGTGTCAAATAAAACTGCGCTACGTAAACTAGTTTACCAACAAAAGGTAAAAAAAAAAAAAAACGTCCCAGCCACGTTCGTCGTCACTAACTTGGTTTCGATCAAAACGATTTTAACCGGTGCCTTAAGTATTGGATGTAAATTGTGCTGTCTACGAGAAATAGGCCACTGCAGCGAAGGCGGATACAAATTAATGATAATAAGTTTATTATTTGGAATCGTTCGTGATAATTTTTTAATTTAGAAACGGTTTTATAAATAATACTGCACGCTGTTAACTATTGTTAAGTTCAAGATATCTTATGGACATTATTATTGTTCTTAAAACAAAATGCTTACATAAATTATGCGTTGATTAAAAATATTTGTTAACATTGCATAAAAACTTAATTTGTACTAGAAGTGCAGAGCCACTGGGAACATGACGCTCAGTACACAAAACAAAAAAATAACTTGATAGTATTAAAAATAAAATATAGTGCGGAAAATCACCGATCATTTGCATCTGCTCATGACGTTTATTGGCTACATAATTTAATACTTTAAATTAGTAATTTAATAATAATTTTATTACACTTAAATCAATATAAACATACATTTTATAAGACTTTAGGTGCTTATAATTTTTTAACTAAGTATAGTGTTTCATTTATTTATGACTGTTGTTATTTATTATACTATTATAACAATAATTATTAAATTAAAACACTAAAAAGATTAAGAACGAATGATATTTTTTTTCTACTAGTAGTTTGTATTTATTTATTTATACTACTCTACTGGTTGAAAAAAAAACAATACTTATTATTTTTATCTAGTTTTCGTACTTTATAACGTACTTCTTAACACCATTTATTTAAAAAATAGTAGCATACTCTTTTTTCTATTTTGGTATGTAACGATATATATAGCGCTTTACATTTAATACAATAACACTCAGCCACTGATGAAGATAAATGATAAACAATAAACAATGGTAAACAACACAATTGATGAATACGTTGAAATAACCTACATTTAATTTAATTTAATAGTACATAGTGATGGATATTTAAAATGGATGAACAATTTCTTTTTTTATAAATTTTTGTGAAAATTAAAAAAAACATATTGTGTGTAAGCAAAATAAAAAAAATAAAATAAAAATGAATTATATAAACGTGGCGAGAAATGAAACATCCTAGAGACCGATAGAGAATGAGAGTGAGGGCTTATATGTATTTATGAATATTTGATAAAAATTTGTTGAACAAGGTTTTGACGAGGGTTCAATTCGTGAAATCCTTGGACTATACATAGAATATATGATATTCGTTTGCTCTTTTATACATATATATATATATGTACGTAGTACAAAACAAATTTTAAATCACCCTAGTACTTGTAGGCGAGTATAAAGAAAGAAAGTAATTGAAATATATGATATTTTATGGTAAATCAAATAGAAACAAGTCAATATGATATATGTATCATAGGGACTATTAAAAAAGTATTATCCATGAAAATCATCGATTTCGGCTAATCTCATCATCAAGAACAACAATTCAAGAAGATTTGAAGATGTGTGTGTGTACCTCAACATCATATTATGGCTAGAGCAACAATAGTGGCAAAAATAACCGGAGGTTAACTAAATGAATACATCGAAAGTTTTTCAACGCATATTAAATGTTTATATGATTTTCAAAATCAGCCTATTAATTTTTCCGATTCAGAAGTAAACTTTCTATAACATGTGGGACCTGCACAAGGGCCTACGGGAGTAGAGATCACTAAAGAAAAACAAATCACCAAATTCTATAATTTAGAAAATATAACATTAACGAAAATAATATTATTATTTTTTTTCAAACCACAATTGAAATAATAGTTTTGTAATATCCTGGAGAACAGTACCAATATACTGTGTTTATATAAATACTGGTTATTGGACATGATAAATTAACATTTTTCATATCATTTTCAACATTAGTTGTCACGTATTGTTTTACCTAAATAATATTTTTAACAGAGTCCCGCAATTTGTAACACCGGCCCTATTAACATGAAGTTAGTAACATAAGCTAACCATAAACGTGCGCATAGGGCAGCAACAGGGCCTGAAAGAGCGTTTTCCAAGCTGAAAATAGTGAAGAATTAACTTCGTTCTACTATGGGACAAGAGTGATTACAATGATTAATGAGAATAACTTGTGAAAAAGATATAGTTGTAAATTATGAAAATATCATTGATTCCTTTATATCTAAAAAATCCTCATCTACTAAAAGCATTAGTATTGTAGATTATAATAATTTTTTTTACCCCACATTATATCTATTATATTATTTATATATTATTTATTACATGCATTTGAAATAAAATTTGTAATTATTATAATATTATAAATTTGAAAATGAAGTAAGTACTTACATAAATAAATATTTTGTGAATAATACTAGTCTAGTATGACTAAATACCTATTTATAATCAAACATTTTTTTAATTCATTAAATGCATATTAATTTATAGTACCATAATAATAATAATAAGTTGTAAAATTAATCATTTACATTTGAATTTCCTATTAATATACAATATGATACCTACAAAAATTATGCATTGCAAAAATGTTTTTTTTTCAAAAAGAACAAACGTGTTGTTTGTATGTAATTGGGGTGGTGGGTATACTAAAAAATATTTAAGCCCCACTTATTCTAAAACCTCTGTGCGCCACTAACGTACGTGAAGTTGGCCCACCCTTTTTCACGGATTAACTTGAAACCTATACTAATATTTTGCGAGTTATTTGGGAGAATTTGCGAGTTCATATTCAAAATTTGCGAGTAAGCCATTTGCGAATTATAATTAAAAAACAGAAAGGTGGACCAACTTCACGTAGCCCCTCCAAGTTGCCCTAGAACTTCAAAACCGATACCAAACGATGCGTCTTTATTTGCGGGAATTTGCGAGTTCATTTTCAAAATTTGCGAGTTCATCCCTTACCCGCAAATTCCATTTTCCTACCGTGACGTTAGCACACTTAACATGCCCTAGAATTCAATGGCCCATATTCAAAGGAAACAAAGTAATAACTGGTTGTGGATAAGATCTTTTATCACCACAGCTAGGTTAGGGTTGCAAAAAAAATCAGTTTTTTCAAAAAAACACATAAAATACGTTTTATTTATTTAAAACAATGATTTTTATGTTTTAAACAGTTTTTAATTGTTATTTTATTCGTAAGTTTTATATATTGTTTAAAAAAAATTTTTTTTTTTTTATTTAAAACTAAGTTCATAAAAATATTTTCCCTAAATGAGATTATTACTTTCAGATTTTTAACCAGAGTACAGTACAGGTTAAAGGTGATTTCATGGTAAAAGGTACAATTATTATTAACAATATTTTGACATTATATGATACTTATTAATTTGTAAACATATTTATATTTTATAAACTGTGGATCAAAAACCACAGAATATTATATATATTATGTGATAAAAATATCTTGTGATTAAGATTATATTGACACTTTTTTAAGTAAATTTGAATATGTAATATAATAATTATTTCTCCTTCACATGCACTCAACTATTTGAGATTAGTTACTTGAATCTTTCGCTTCCAAATGTTTTAATATTTTACAACAATTTAATGTGTGGGGAGGTTTAATTAGAGATAATCTCCATTGAATTATTAATACTATCACTTAAATCATCATTCGCTATTGTGGAAAATAAAGCGCAAAAGTGTATTTCTACACCCCTAAATCATCTTTTTCACATCAATTCAGGTGCCCATCAGGAAAACATTTTATTTGCTCCTCAGAGACTTCAATTAACAATAAATATTATTATGCAATAATTGCATAATATGCAATATATGACAAGCCCGTTTCAGGTAAGATACAAATGAAATGCTATAGGGAATCTAAAAATTTATTAAAGGAAGAAAGAAGGATTGGTATTGACAATGTGCATTAGATGGATGGAGAGTTAAAATAGTAGTTTGAGGAAGGTAATAGAATTTGGAAGAGGATAGTTAATCAGTCATGTAATATTTAAAAATTTTTTTTCAGTTGTATACAGTATTTTATGAATTATATATTATTATGTTATTTTAGTAATATTAGTACCAAGAAACATTTTTTAATTAAACACGTATTTCGAATCATTATATTCTAGTTTGTAACATAATTATAATACGAGTATAATAATATTATAAATATCGAGTAGATTTTACTAAAAAAAAAAATTTAATTAAATCTTCAAATAAAAAAAAATTCAGAAATGTATATATATCTAGAATATAAACTTGGCAACATAGCGTACAGGAACATTCACAATTGTTCGTTTTTTGGCTAAAAAAAATTCTTTGATAAGCAACAGTCGTTCGCAATCGTGTTATAAAAAAGGTAAAACGTTTGAAATCGTTCGCTACCCTTACATTAAGATACGATCGACACGTGTGACGGCACAAGGTGCCAAAATCAGAACGGTGCGTGAGAGACGTCAAAATTAGATTATCTACTATAGATATATATATAAAAAAAAAAAACAATTCTGTGCAGGCACAAGTCATAGAAATGAAACTTCCGCGATAACAGTCGTGGTGGTATCAACGGTTATTTCGTACATCGATAAATTGGAGATGGTAAAAGATAAAGCAGCCAAACTTTTATTGTACTTTTATTAACTATTCCGTGTAGATAGCTTGTTCGATGAATTTTTCTACGCTTGATATGTACATTTATTCAGTGGTCATCATCGATGTGTCGTGGAAGATTTTTAATCATGGTGTCCGCACTAACCGGCACATTGATAATCTGGCCATATATACCGCATTGACCATTAACACGACGCAATCTCCTGATCTGCATAAAGGGAATACGAGGCGAAATCAATCTTTCTGATATTCATAGGCGTATCTAGGGGGGATTGGGGGGCTTAGCCCCCCTCCCTCCGTGTGAATATTAGCCCCCCCCAGAATTATTTGTATTATTTTTGCTCATTTCGTCGAGTAGTCTTATTTTCATTTAGTTTAGTTTTTTTTTTTTTTTTTTTATTATTATTATTATTGTTTTTGCAGCCCCCCAATATATTTGATCACCCTACGCCACTTTAATGATAGTGATCAACACTATTCTGATCAACTCGATCAGTATGAATTTTTTATGAATTTAACGAGTACATTACGGTGCACCGTAGTTAAAATGCGTATACACTTTAAAAACGAATTATAACCGGAAACGAATGTACGATTTTGAATCTTACCAGATATCTGAAGCTTGTACTAAACGTCAATATAAAACTATTAACAAACAACAATTATTTGAAATATTATTATAAATTCTTAAAAATCTTAATTTTTATTATACCTGTGTGCATTCTGTTATTACTACGTAAAATAATAAAAAAATTTTAAAACACAGTTTTTGCGGTATGCAGCCGCATATGTTACGAGATAGATAGCCGTAAGTAAGATTGGACACCTTGAAATATTTTTCCATAGCCGCCGTATAACCCGCCCGGAGTGCGCATTCCGTAAGCTTATAGAGTACGGATTACTTGTCCACGTGTACAAGACTATGGCCGGCAAAACATTCGGGATGGAAAATAGGTAATGAATAGGTTTTTTTCGACTATCAAATTTTCAAATTTCAAATGCACCAGGCGTTTAAAAATCATTCAATTTTATTTGAAAAAGAAAACCGTTGAACCCTGAACGCACCTGTCTGGCTACGGTCTCGCGCGTTTATCGGTACCGGAGAAAAACGCAATAACGCTGGCCCCTAGAAATGTGATTGTTGATAATCTCGGGCAACGCAACGCTGCTGTACACCTAACAACAATAAATTATTATAACAATATCTAGGCATTATTATTAACGTGCGTGTTGTTACCATTGATCGCAATCCCTCCCGTACGGCATAGTACATTATTATTATTGAACGAACGAGTGGTGTACCAAGTGACGATCCTGATTCGACATGTCGGTTTACGAACGTGTAGGGAACGTTCCTCGGACGGCGATAGCGGGGCCGGCACCACCGGTATACCGCGGCCACCAGCATTACGACGATGTCGTACACGCCGCCCGGTATTTCATGTACGGGTATTACATGACGCTGGTCGGGGCCCCGCAAGAGGCGTGGCGCTCATTCACAGATGGCGCGCAGTACACGCATGTGGACGGCCAAGGGCCCGCGGAGGCGCGCGACCTGAGGCCCGCCGTTGGCCACCGTCAGATCCACGAGAACATCGTGTACCAGCGGTTCGCCGAATGTGAGTTGCTCGTGCGGTCGGTGGACGTGCAGCTCACGTCCGCAGGATGCGTGGTGCTGGTCACCGGCCACATAAGCCGCAGGAACGGTCCGCCGGTCCGGTTCGTCCAGTCTTTGGTGTTGGAGGAACGTGCCGTCCGGCATCACAATCCGGCCATCCGGTACGCCATCAGCAATGCCATTCTCAAGGTGTACACCGTCGCTCCCGGTGGCATCGCGGCCGTCCACTGAATCACTAATCGCCCGTATAATAGTTGCCGCCAATAATGTAATGTTGTACTTTTCGAAATATAATTGTTCGCCGAAGAAATTCAATAGCCTCTTAATTGTTCCGGGTGCAGATGGGTCGCTGCCACCAGCCCAAGTCTTGCGGATTATAATGATAGTAATTTATATTAATCCTGTCAAACAAAGCACTAGTATAATGCGTCCAGTACCGGCTCAAGGATTTCCGGGGCCTAGTGCGAAATATTTTTTTTATACGAAAGGGTCATACTCGATGGCGTATACGGAAAATATTTTCTGGCTACTATGGACAGAGTTAAACTGCCACTGCTATCTAAAAATTACTAACAAGACACAGTAGGTACCAGTGGCTTATATAGGTTTTCATTTCAGGGGGAGGCCGATTATGTATTTGATTTTTGCGTGGAAGGGAAAGAGGAAGCACACTATTACGAAAAAAATTACTTTAACAGTATAAAACTTCTCGACTGTCTTTATATCATCAGAGAAATAAACTCAATTTTTTTAATGATTTATTATTTTTTAAAAATATAAAAACTACATTGTAATAAACAAATTTTTTATTAGAGTCACTCAAAATTGTCTCAACTGATCACATTATTTACGTAATTCCTATAGTAAGTATAATCCTGTATTTATGAACAAAGGATATATGATGTAGTACTTGACTATTTAATATATATATATATATATATATACTAGCTGACCCGTCAATGCTTTGCTATTGCTAGATTTCAGTACATTTATATATGTTTAGGAATATGTGAAAAGTTTGATATGAATTATATCAGATATTTAATTTGATTAATTTGTTTAATATAATTTTATATATACGTGTGGAATATATTTGTTTCGTTATGATGTATGATGTATGATTTTTATTTTTTTTGTTAATTATATCAATTTGTCTTAAATATTAAATATTTCTGGATACACCACGTTAAGTGTCTCACCTTCTGGGGCCATCACAAATAGATTTTGTTTGCATGTGACACGTGACAGAGCTACGTACAATTGACCATGGGAAAAACACTGGACGGTTAAGTCTAAACCTGCAACGTTTAATGTTTGACCTTGTGCCATATTAATAGTCATTGCAAAGCTTAATTTCACAAGAAATTGGAGCCGTTTGAACTGAAATGGCAAATTGGTTGGTATCATTGGTATTCTAGGAACCAAGACCATTTCCCCAGCTCTGCAGCCAGTAAGGATTATACACTCAAGCAGACAGTTTTTTAAAGACTTTATTTGTAATCTTGTACCGTTGCATAATTTAGGTGGACTTAAGTTACGAAGTAAAATTATAGGAGACCCTATTTTTAGAATTAATTTGTGTGGTGGGGTCCCTGAAGGTGATAAAGAATTTAAAAATTCAGTTGGATAATGTATCGCCTCCTCTGCATCTAAAACAGTGTCAATGGAATAGTAAACTTTTGTTGGTGCGTTGAATTTTAACAGTATCATGTTATTTATTTTATTGACTTGATCGTTAGTTGGTGACAATATTGCTCTTTCTTGAAACCAACTTGGCGTTTTAGTCGAAATATTAGGTAAATCTGGGTAAACATTTTCAATTAGGTCCATCAAATTAGACATCAAAAAACAAAGCTCAGACAGATCAATTTTACCATTTCTAGTCAGTGACTGACCATTACCAACATGGAGTAAAGCATCAGCAGAAGTTTTATTTCCTTGGTCAGATGATAATATTCTCATATTAGTTTTCAGTTTCAATTTAGTTATGTCTGGCCAAATGTAAGATCTCTTTAATGATGCATTGACTTCATCAGCTCTCGTTCCTCTTACTACAACTGGCAAGATTTGACGAAAATCTCCAGAAAATAAGACTGTACAGCCACCCATTAATGTATTTTTATTACGTAAGTCCCGCAAGGTTCTATCCAATGCCTCAACCGAGCTTTTGTGGGACATGGATGCTTCGTCCCAAACAATAAATACACTATCCCGCATCAATTGAGCAGTGTTGCTTTGTTTGGATATATTACAGACACTTGATGTGTCGTCGTAGGACATTTTTAGCGGGATCTTGAAAGTGCTATGCGCAGTTCGACCACCTTCTAAAAGCGTAGCTGCAATTCCAGATGAAGTCACAGCAAGAGCGATTTTTCTGTCTGTTCTTATTTTGACGAGCAATAAGTTAATTAAAAATGTTTTTCCTGTACCTCCAGGGGCATCAAGGAAAAATGTTTTGCCTTCGTAATTATTAATAGATGTCATTACTGCGTCATAAACCGTTTTCTGATCAGAGTTTAAACGTCTCTCATTTTGAACGACCTGTAATAGACGGACACTATCGTAGGACGTCTCTCGCAAGTATTCAGTATTGGTATTCAGATCTATATTGTTCGATAGAATTAATCCAAAATCAGTGATATTTTTGCCAGAAACTGATTGCACCACTTTATTCAACTCAAGTAAAGCTTCATTAAAAATATTTTCATCGTAATTTATATCATCTGATGGACATTCTTTTTGTTTTCGAAACAATACGTCTTCAGCCATACTTGCACGATGATTTTGCCAAAGTCTTATCGGGTCTGTTACTTGGCAAAATACTATCAAAATGGCAAATAAATATCTTATAGACGGTGAAGTACAACATACAGTAGCTTCAGATAATGTGTTTTCCCATTGTAAATCATCTTCTAACAAACCCATTGCTTTGCATGCTTCTTGAAATGTATCGTACGTCACTCCTTGCACAGTTCGTAGACTTGCAAAAGAAATTGGACCTTTGATCACGTGGAGTAACATTCTTAAGTAAAAACATTCACTGTTATTCGGATGAACTACATACACTCTGCCAAGGGTATCAGTTTTTTTTACCCCAGGATGATTTTCGACGGGGGTTCCTCGTTTTTGTCGTTGGAAATTTTTGATAGATTGATTCCAAGTATAATAATTTGGAACCTTGTCATATGTTATGGTTTTAGCAAATTCGTCTTTAGCACATAATTTGAAAAAAGCAGTCATTGTAGTATCACGTGGATTGTTCACAATGTCATTGACATTATGTTGTGTAAAAAAAACCCTTTGTCCATTCTCTAAGTGAACTACCAAGTGAATAATAGCAGGCGCTCGTTTGTGTACATCAAAAGATAAAATACGCCAAACCGCTTCAGAACTACATATGTATCGACCAGATTGAAATTGTTCCACTTCATTTCGATTGTCTAAACTAAATGTAGCTTGATCACTACCTTTGTTTATATATTTGGTAATATATTTTATTGATTTTACAGAGCTACACAGTTCCACGTTTATGTGTGCGTCAAATATTTTAAGCAACAGTGGGTTGTAAGGGACTACCCACCTGTTATCAATATCATTATTTCGAATTATAGCAATTTGTCCGCCTTCTTCAGGTGATAGTCTCCGATATTTGGGGTAACCATCATCGCCAGTTGATGTGTGACTCTGAAATAATTTTGGAAATTTTTTTGAGCACCTTCCCTCCGTGATACACGGAGAGTTTGTATTTAAAACTCCACATGGTCCATGAATCATGTGTCTGACTACAGAGTTGGATACAATAATGGATCATCTTCTTTGTTTGGCAACTCTGCTGAAATCACATTGTCAATTTGGTCTGGTGTTATTTTATTTTTAAGCCATAATAGAAGATGAATGTGTGGTAAGCCACGTTTCTGCCACTCGACCGTATACATAAAACAACATGGTTCACCAAATATATTAGCTTTATTAATGAGAGTCAATAGTTTTTGTATTTTCAAATGAAACACCCTATTGACTATGTCATATCTGTCTTGCGGCTGTGCGTTAGGATGAAGATTAGTTTTAATCTCTTCCCAGTTTGGATTACATGTTACAGTGATAAATAGGTCAGGTTTGCCATAATTTTTTACATAGGTCATTGCGTCTTGTGTCTTTTCGTGAAGATATCGTGGTCCACCAGTAAATGATGATGGTAGAATTACTAATTGTCCAATTTCGGTACTCGGCTCATTTGATTTCAAGGCATCTTGCAAATGTATATAATTTTCAGCACATAATGTTGTCTGATTGTTTCGTATGTACGCTAAACGTTCTGATTCTATTTTAGAATATTGATCGACTAAACATTGGTTTAACAACATACCATATCTGAGTAACATATTGCAATTGTTTTGTCTTTCCATAATGCGATAACAGTAATAATTCATACACGAAACGGTTTTTTGTAATGGAACTCCAGTATGAGGGTCAATTTGATGAATATCGATAGAATATCCATCTTCACCACGACATAACATTAGAGGATATTGCAGGCTGTCATAAGACCTGTGAATTTCAGATATTTTTTTAAGATTATCGTCTCGGCTACACAGTACAATATCTCGTTTATGAAATTGTTGGCCAGATATCACTACGGCTACCTCGCTTGTAGATGGCGCATTATAACGTCCCATTATAACGACTATTTAATATATATATATATATATGTCTACTGGACTATTTCTATTATAAAATATGCTATGAATAAAATTTACTCGTATTATACAATTATAATTTATTTATTTATTATATAATTAACTCTTAATAATAAGCATTGAACCATAAATTAAGAACCTTAAAACATTTTAATGAACTATTGAAGTACAATTGAATAAAATAAATGCAACAAAGTTGAAATAATTTTTCTATTTTTTTTTTTTTTTATAAAATTATTTTTAAATAAGCATAAAGCACCATTTAAATATAACAAACATTTAAAATAATTTTCAAGTTTTTTGAAATATTTTGAGAGGAGAAGGGCTGTAGCCCACTAGGCACCCCCCTATATACACCAATGGTCATACTCCCACTTGTACAAATTACTTTAATTTTGATTTTGACAATTTTTATCATAAATATAGAATAATCGTTGAATGCCAATTTAATCTAATCTTACTTTACCTGCAACTTCATGTTTAGTAGAAAGATCTTTCAGGTAATATTTTCTATATTATATTTCTCATTTTTTATTCGGTATATTATTCTCAAAATAAATTGCCATTATATTTTTAGTACATTACGTCATTTAAAGACATGGCTGAGAAGCAGAATGGGAAATTAAAGTTTAAGTAGTTTAGGTCTGATTAATATTCATCGACAAAGATATAAAATTAAAGAATTTTTTTAACAGCAATTAGAAGGTATTATTGAAAAGTTTAGACTGAGTTCTAGGCGGTTGGCATTGCTTTTCAATGATTAATAATGTATTGATGTAAACAATAATACACATTTTTATTAGAAGTAATAAATAAAATGAATTATGTTCTAAATATATTTTGTTATACTTATTATTGATAATAAATAATATATGTCATATAATTAGTGTTAAGGGGGTGTGAGGAGCAAAGCCCCCCCACAGCTTATATTGACACTAAAAATATTTTGCACCTAGTGAGCTACATCTCTGCGGGCGTGCCTGTCCCTCCCCCCTCTAAATAGCGGACACCTCTAAATAACGGACAAAATTATAGCGACCAAGAGTTCCGATATTTAGAGGTTTCACTGTATTCGTTATAAAATTGACGTAGATTAAAATCTACATTTTAATAAAAATTATTTTAGATATTAGTTAGGGTGAACGTGGTTCCAGTGAAAAAATATAGCTGGTGTACGCAAAAAAAAGAAATAGTAGAGGAGCTCCGTTCCCCTGCGCCCCCCCCCCCCCCCAATTCGAGCTCTGTTTATATACCTACATATAATATGTATATAGTTAACTGTTTATGATATATTACATAAATGTCATATTATGAGTCATATTAAAATATTCTGATTTATAGTATAATCTATAATAGTACATTGCTATATGATTATTAAAAGTTTTAATTCTTGGTTTTCCAATATATTTACACAGTACCTTTTAGACTTTACGTTTATATTATTTCTCTACAAATACTTTTGTAAAAATATTCGTTTGTATACATTTTCTCTAAAAATGTACCGCCCCCTCAAACTTCCGCCCGGGGCAAATGTCTCTTCCCCCTTTAATGCACCCCTGGGCAGCAGGGTATGCTCTTGCTGACCCAGGCTAATTTAAATAGATTTGTTAGAACCAAACAGTCCTAGCTACCGTAAAGGGGTTTCGTCAATTGCGCCGAATTTGGGACACTACCTGTATAGTATACATCTATTGCGTCGGTATAAAAAAGGTATATTAAAAAGGTATACATCTATTGCGCTGGTATAAAAAAGGTATATTAAATAGGAATACATCTATTGCGCTGGTATTAAAAAAGTTATATTAGTTAAAAGTAAATAAAATTATTAATTTATTTAATTTATTAATTAAATTAATTAATACTATTTCCATTATAAATTTAAGCACGAGCCACGACAACTAAACGAACGACTATACAAACAACGCGTGGAATTATACTGCACAATACTATGGATTCACCTATAACCTAACGGTATTTTTCCACATTTTGTAATTTGTTTTATCTTCAAGTAATACAATAATATAACTCAAACTAACCTATGATATAGATAATATATTAGATTAAAACACGTAAAAATGATATGTAGTTATAATAGAAATAGTATTATAGACGTTTATATATATGATATTTAAGAATCGATCAGCGTAATTGACGTACACCATTTATTACATTAAAATATCGATCGGCGCAATTGATGTACACAATTTATAACATTGGAATATCGATCGGCGCAGTTGATGTATACCTTTTTTCTATCCCATAATTTTACTTTTTTTACCTGCGATTTTCGGCGCAATTGATGTATGCCCACCGTAAAACACTCAATAAAAAAAAAAATGAGCCGTCGCGGGACGCCTGGCAGATGTGAAACATCAAAAAATTTTTATTGTAATAATGTTGAAAATAGATGGTGAATAAGATGACTATGAAATAATTTTTAAATTAATATCATAAGACTATTTTGTTTTTTATTTGCATATGAAGTACTTAAAAGATTTACAAAGACATACAAAAATATACAAATGTAATAATGTAACTACTCTAATCAATATTATCTGTTGCTTCGTCAGTTATTTCTGTGACAGTAGCAGTTAATGCTTCTAATGGTACAATTGCTGGTATCAATGTAACAATTGGACGATGATAACTGAAATAAGCAACAAAAGTACGTGACATAACGTTATCAAGGTACCTTGTGAATACTCCATCTATAGCAGTTCCATATCTGGTTGTTGCTTCTCTTGGATCGATATTAATATGCAAACTAAATTTTTCTTGAAGAAACGTAATTAATTGTAATGAATTGTCTCTTGCGAAATTTACATTAAAATCTCCTGCTAAAAGTAATGGTAATTTATCCAAATTATCTTTCAAAAGCATCGATCCTTCGTGACTATATGGAAGTAATCGCCGATGTAAAAATGCAATGATATCGTTAATTTTTTGATTGGGTGAAATGTATACAATGACCATGAGAAATTCTCTTCCGTCATCCATAACAATTTAAAAAGCACACAGGTCACCTACAGGCGATGCACTGTCTCGTTCCATTATATTTGCAATATTTTCACTGTCACTGTCACTCATATTTCATTAGAAAATATATATATTACAACGGTCCGTTCAAAACAACATAATATAAAATATACATACACGTAACAATATAATCAACGTAATATACTATAAATTTATTTATACGCAACAATAGGTGTACATATTATACGTTTATAAATCGTATAAAAATAGATAAGCCGATACAGCGCACATAGAGAGGAAATCGCCGAGCTTCGGAGAATTGAGCCGACGAGCTATGAGTGGGGAGTCGCCACGGCACAGTCGGTCTTACTACTGTACCGCGCCATAAGATGTTTCTCATCAAAAATGGGCCGAAAAAAATATTCACTGTCCTAGATTTGAAGCTCTGCGCACGCCTATAAAGCTAACATTTAGGTTAATGTTAATTTTTTTTTAATAACAATACAATCTTTTTTTTTATCACCATAAGTTGTAGTGATAAAGCTATTAGAAAAGAAGTAAACCGTGAAAACATTATGAGCTATGGGAGGGAAGACCTACTCGTTTACTTATGGCAGTTAAATAACATTGTAATTATTAAATATTAATCAATTATGACAAGATTTAATTTTGGTTATTCGGTGTATCTTATACAACATTTGTTTTGGAACTATATTCAACTTAAGTGAAAAATGTTTATAAGAAAATATTACACCATTGATGGTTAGGTTAGGTTAAACTGGCACTTCAGCAATATACGACATTCTTATTCGCTCAACTCTCAAATTGTCAATTTCGGTACATATACCACCCATCATTCGAATCTTACCATGTACATACAACAATCAAATAACGACAACAACAGAAAAAACATGTAATATATTCGTTAACTGAGGTGAATAATATGCATTTATGCAGTGAATACTGATTCATATGTTTGTGTTTCTTACAAATTACGAGCGTGAAACATTGTAAACATCAATAATTGTGAGCGCTATTCAGCGTCGTATAGAATTTTTTTTTTTTTTTTAGTAAAATTACGATAACGAAAAACGATTAAAAGCACAAAATAGAGCAAAGTAGAATGAGTGCACCAGCGCACACTAACAAATAAAAGAGGTTGTTATCATTTTGGATTGATTTTTATGATTTAACACTATTCACAGTTATTTTTTATATACTATATTTATATAATGTATATAATATAAATAAATATATTACACAACTTATATACATATGCAACTGTGTGTATAAATATTATAATTTATTATCAGTATTTTTATAATCAATGTTATTAAGTACTAACAATTATTTTAAAGGGTTTGTTTCACAGTAACTTATTGTTATAATATTAATAATAGGTCCACAATCATTACCTACTCAATAAAAAAATATTAGTAAAAAATCACGTCAATGAATGTTTGTAGTTCTGCAGAGAAACTATAAATAGCATTGATTAATATATGTATATAATATTAAAAACACTATTTGATCAATTTATTAATAATACCATAGTAATTTCTGTAATTTCTCATTCATTTAATCTATAAGCATGTGAATTTGAATGATTGTGTGTGTGTGTGTGTGTGTGTGTGTGTGTGTGTGTGTGTGTGATATATATATATATGTAATACTACATATATGCAGATCATTTGTCATGCACAATATTTCTTTTAAAACACAAAGTTACAATAAAAAAATAAAATAAAAACGTTTTCCTATAATAAATATAATTATTATTATTAATTATATTATATGAACATCACATATAATATCTAGTCTATGTACACAACAGTCTTTAATAAAAAAAAAAAAGAAAAAAAATATATAAATCAAATTATAATTAATAATAAATGATCATAATATAAAATGAAAAAAAAAATAATGTTAAGGATATTCCACCCTGTTCTATCACAATAATTTTATTTCTTTTTATATATATATATATATATATATATATATATATATACATGCTCAAATAAAAAAACAAAACTACCTTGGTGGCAATATTAAAATATAATCAAAAATTAACTACACAAATTGCGTACAAGTATGGTGTGTATGTGTTTATGTTGTGTATGTATTTTTGTATGTGTTTATTAGACAATATTAATGACAACATACAATAGTGTTACACAATTTTTAACAGCTCTTTAAATTGAAATTGAACAAAAAGTTATAGAAAACATTTACTGTTTTCGCACTATGGCAGTGGCAACGCATAAAAATCTTCAGGGTAATAATCTCATAGAACATCTATATATAATATATGAATAAAAATACTAATAGTCCAGGAAGACATAATAATAAAAATTGTGTTCAACATAACATGAATATTATTGTAAATAATATGTCATATGTGAATGTAGTTTGATAAAAAAAAGAATTATCTGAAAGAAATTATTCTCAAGTAATGTAGTCTATATGCAAACATCAATTTTGGGCCATTTTTATCTTATGCAATTTATTATTGTTTTGTAGAAAAATTAAACAAATTATTTTTATGCACTGTCATAAATAATTAAAATATTAATAACTGACTTTTTCAATAATTCTAAAATGAAAAATGTGATCCATAAAAATTAATTTATTTTTAATTATTTTTTTTTTTTTTTTTGTGTATATACTGTTTACCCAAAACAAATATCAAAACTATTATATAATATCCAGAGCATCCCAAAAATTTGTATAAATAAAAGGAAGTAATATATAAAAGCCACAGATAAGTCCACAGTAAAAGCACCAAAACATTGGTATTATTATTTAATACAGAAAATGCTCATGGTTATATGATTAGTTGCATAAAATATTTGTATCTGGGTTTTATTTTTTATTTTATTAAATTTAATATATTTGACATAAATTTTATTCGATATTATTATAACATACAACGAAAGTATAAAAATAATAAGGTTCAATTTCGTTGTTTGCTTAGTAATAAATTGATTAAAAAATTTACATTTTTAAAATTATATATCTACATTTATATATTATAATATTATACACTAGTTTTTAATCACGTTGAAATAGATTGATGGGTTGTGAGTAAAGAGTAAAATACAAATTTAAAATATTTTTAGAGTAAAATACAAGTTAAAATATTTTATTCTGTAATGCCAATAAGAAATAGTTTGAGGTAGTTTTAAATGGATATGTGTAAACGGTATACATACAGATAAAAATGGCAAGTATGTTTGACACATTAAGTTTCAATTACATTTATTACATAGGTTAACACAAATGTTTAAACTCTGTTAAATTACATACATACATACTGATAAATGATCTTTAAAAAAACTGTTAAAAAAGTCATTTTCGTCTTAATTAAAACAAATTAATTTAAAAAAAAAAACAAATTTGTCACTACTCAACACAAATACTATCACCTGGTTTTAAAAATTATATACTCTTCCCTTTAAGAAAAATCACAGTTATTCGATTTTTACATGAAAAAAAAAATTACATATAAATCATCTCATCTTTACTTAATACAATTTGATCATGTTATATTTATTGCTACTGGACTCTGCCCTATACATACCCCAATCATGTCATCTTGCTCTTGTTTTGTCCGATTGGAATGGGATGGTGGAACACAAGCAACAGGCTGTTGTACTGATGGTGGTGGGTGATTATGCAATGAATGCAATGAACGTGGAGGTTGTGATTGTATCGGCTGATATGGGTGATGTTGTGGATGTAGGAACGGCAAGGAGGTGGGTCGACAATGAACCATAGCACCTGCTGCAGATGCTGGATTCATAGGGTAAACAGTAGCATGGTGAGGTAAATTATGTCTAACCATTGGTGCTGTTTGGTAACCATGGTACATAGAAGCGATGGGCGGAGGGTCACAATCCATAGTAGTTCTACCTCGACATTGACCTGATCGCAATCTTATTGCTATAAAAAAAAAAATTGTTATTATAATTTACATTATACATGTTTAATATAAACACTAATAAGAAAAGTTCATTTAAACTGTCATAATAATGAGTTAACCACTAATAAAGCAATGATACTATGATATAAAAATAACACAGATGTTCTCAATTCTAAAATAATATGCAAGATTTAAAATGGCTTTAATTTATTCATGACAAAAACAAAGAAAATCAATAAATTTTTTTTTCCATGTTCCAATTTTTCAAATTTTAATACCTATTTGATTTTCAAAACAATATCAATACTATTATACAGGTCATAATTATTCAATTTTAATGATTATTTCATAAAAACTATTTATAAATTTAGTATTAATTTACACCAAATTATTGAGCAAATCATTTTAAAACCCACACAATTTTCATGCATTTACTATAATAACTTATGACATAAATAAAAACAAATTCTAACATAATACAATTATTATGAACTATATAGCAGGAGTGGCCAACCGGCCAACTGCAAGATGAATTCAAGTCAATTGCAACACCCTTTGGTATTTTCTTGAATCTTTGAATTTTTTTCAGAAAACAAATAAAATATTTTTTTTTGAAAATTTGTGTATCTTCGTATATCCCACAAGTATAAAAATGAAATTATCAAATTAAATTCAAGCACAAACATCTCATTAAATGATTAAATTAACATAATAATAGTGGTAGTAATAAAAGTAGTAGTATAGTTATAGTAGTAAATAGTAATAAGTAAAAGTAATAATTTGAAATAAAATTTATTAAAATACGTGTAGTGTGAAACTGTGAATTTATACTGTAAATTAAAAGTAATAAAAGAATTGTAACATACATGTCCATTGTACATATAATTTATTTTTTAATTATGAATAACATTTTTTTTTTTTTTTTTGGTCTTTTGCGACAACCTAGAAAAACTTGGAGGTCGATAAGAAGTCTAAAAAAGTTGCCCACCTCTGCTATATAGTATACACAAAACAATACAATAGCAACATATTTCTTTAAAATAGTAACTTATAAGGAATTGTTTTCCCTATTTGAAACTAAACTGTCTCAGTTTATGAATTAACTATATAATTCAAAAATAAAATAAATAGGCTAAAATAAATTACTACAAAAATTCTTCTAAACAACTAATATAATTTCATAAAAATATTTACTTATTTTAAGTTTGAGTTAAATAAGCTATATTTAAATACATACACTAACTTGTAACTAATATTGTGAAACTGTTATTAATGTTAAAATGTAAATTAATTAAAGCATCTTTGATATGAGTAATGTTTCTTTATAAAAATTATAATTAAATTAAATATTAATTATTTATAATGTTAACATAATAGATTTATAATTTAAATTGTAATAAATAAATCATAATTTATTGCATTAACATAATATAATTAAATCAATAGAATTTTGAACATAGTTTTGATTTAAATTTATTATTATCTATTAAAACATTTATTAATAGCTTTGACTCTCCATTCAAGAATAAGCACTAGTTAAAATGCTGTTTAAATCAATATTATATAAATGATTCTTTAAATAAAAATCTTCATAATTACAAGCACCAATAAAATACAATACCAAACTTAAAAATAGTTACCATAAAAAATTAAAAAAAAAAAAATAAATAAAATAGAAGTTTCTAGTAACTGAAAGCAAAGTAGCCTTAATTTATTACAAGAATTTATTTTACACAGTAGAAACTATTAATAACTCAAATTACACAAGAAATCTGTTAGTAAAATTAAAATCTAATGAACCCAGTAGTATGTTAGTCTTGTAGTTAACATTGACATATCAGATAACATAACTATTTTCACAGACCCCTTTAATGTTATAGCAAGTAGTTTTTACTTTATTTACATAATGTATAAATCTAAGGCTAATTTTTATAACTAAATGAAATTAATTGTGCAATATTTTTTGTAATGCTACTCATTGTTAATAAAAAATCAACAAATACTTAAACCAAATGTGTTAGTAAAATTACATAAATAAACTGAAATTCAATAGTCTAATAAAACTGTATGGAACAATAATATACTATATAAATAATGAAATAACAAATTAAGATGAATGATACAAATAAATAACAAAAACCACACAACACGTTAATAAGAATTGACTTACACTTTTTTGAAATCTAATATGTTGACCCAAAGTTTAGCAATAGTCATCGAGCGTAAAAATGTGAAGGGAAAGTGTTTCCTTTGAGGTAGGCAAAAACAAAAACAAAATATAATAATTTATAACCAATGTAATGTATTTAAATTTATCTTCAAAACATATTTATACATTAAATTATCTACAATTCAATAGACTTATTAAAAAACTAAGCCTTTATGTAAGATTGGATACTCAAAAAATATTCCCTTAACAAAATGATGTCAAAAAAAGCTAAATTACACATTCTTACCAGATGATTGCACATTTGTATCTCCTGGGCCATTATTATTAGGTAAACTATTAAAAGGTGGACTAGCACCTAAGCTGTGTAGTCCAGCTTGAGCAATACCACTAGCTGTGTTGGTGCTTTCTTCAGAAGTCCTTTTAAAGAAATTATGTTGTAATGCATAATATGGAGTAATTCGAGTTTTGGGATCATAATCTAACATTCGAACTATAAGATCCTAGAAAAAAAAAAAATCAAAAACAATTTATGAGTAAAAAAAAAAAAAATTAATTAATTTAACAAAAACTAATAAAATACTAACTTTAAATTTAAGATAGTCAGATACTGAATGTCCAGGTTCACCTAATCGTCTAGCATATGGACCTCCGGTTTCGACACCTAGTATATCATGTAATCTTCGACCACCAGGATTTCTATACTTTTTAGCATCTTTGGGTTTTTTAAGCGTATATGATTCAACACCAGGCATTTTATCAAAATATTTATAAGCTTTTTGCGCTTGGTCAAGTATATGTTTAGGTGGCATTCCCAAGACTTCAATGATTTTATTCATCTGGTCAACCTAAAAAAAAATTATATACTTTAAAGATTTTTTTTTCTTTTAATATTCATGATAAGACATACTTCATTTGTTCCACTAAACAATGGTTCTCCAGTATGCATTTCTACTAATATACATCCTAAGCTCCACATGTCAATCGCTAAGTCATATGGAATACCGAGTAAGACTTCTGGTGAACGGTAAAAACGTGATTGAATATATTGATAAATCTGTAACAAACATTTAAACATTAAATAGCTTTAAAGTGATAGTATAATTATAGTAAGCTTCTTCTTCTTTAAAGAAAACCTCAAGTTCCTGGGGATTAGAGAGGGAGAACAACTGGCGAAGAACAGAGAATTGTGGAGAGGTGTAGTAGAAGCGGCGATGGACCTTCAAGGCCCGGAATAAGCCAAAAAAAAAAAAAAAAAGCTTACTCTTTGGCCAAGTTGACAAGATGAACCAAAGTCTACTATCTTAATTGCAGATCTTTTAGGATTGCATAACAATATATTTTCTGGTTTCAGATCACAATGTATGATGGACAGGTCCGGTGTGGATAGGAACAACAGAGCCGTGCACAGTTGAGCAGCAAATTTACGGGTAAGATTTAAAGAAACACCTTTAAAATTGGTGTTTCTAATCAAATCGTATAAGTTATATGATAATAACTCAAATACCAGGCACAAATGATTACGCCACATAAAATGTCGCTTAAGTTTAACTGTAAATAATAAAAATTTCATAAATTAATAACTGAAACAAATTATAAAAAATTATATATACCAATGTAATATTTGTTGTCAACATCAGCTCTATTCATCATTTCTAAGAGTCTAACTTCAATTTGAGCTTGATTTAGGAATGGTTTTTTGTTCTTTATAATTTTAATAGCTACATAACAATCTTCTTCTTCATCACGAGCCTTTACAACCTATTAAAAATTAAAACAAAAATTATTTTAAAAAATAACATTTATCAATATAATATAAATTATATATTTCAAAATATATGTTACTTACTTGTCCAAATGATCCTTTTCCCAGTAAAGACATGATTTCATAACGATCCAAAAACTTTTCACCGCTTCTAATTATATAATCATGATTATCATCATCATGGCCATCATTATATACTCTTCTTTCTTTCTTGTTAGCTACAGGACCTTCCATAGAGGCTCCATTGTTTTGAGGTTGGCTACTCAATCCAACTGCTCCACCACCAGCTCTTTTCTTTTTCTTAGCATAATAGACCTAATTAAATTAAAATTAATTAAAAATAGTTATTTTAATACTTAAATATTGTTGTATAAGAAACTAAACCTACCAAGTTGAATAATTTATTAAACATAACTGGTCATGTGTTATTGTAATAGAATATTAATTAAAGTAAAATAAAGTTTTGTTAATAGGAAAATGTTTTTGAATCTTTAATAGTACTGTATACTTAAAAGTACACAATCTAATGATAATATAATTACTTATATAAATTATCTTGAAATTCAAGACCCTCAAGTAACTATAATTATTATTTATCTTTGATAAAATGTAATATATACTACTTAAACAAAAATACTTATTAAGCAATTTTAATAAAATAAAGATGGTTTTTAACTGAAAATGTTCCTAATTGAATACTCACACTATCAATAAAATATAAATTTAGATTGTGTCTATTTTTACTGAATTATTTCCAGAGAGTAATATTTACTTAAAACATAATGGACTTATTTTAAATAGTTGTGTAAATTAATAGTTACTACAATACCTCATTAATAAATTTATAAGTTTTGATCAAGTCCACTGAAAGTTTTCTTAATGGAGCAGTTGATGGATCTCTAAAATGAGGTGGTATTCTAGCTTGCATTGCATGGATATCAGCATGTACTGGAGCAATACCACCAACCATAGGTAACTGGTCTTCAGCAACAAGTCTTCCATACAAGGGACCGCCACCAAAACCAAAATTACTATCTTGAGATCCTTGTCCATGACCTTAATAAATTAATAATAATAAATAATACTGTTAATATTGGAACGAAAAATTAACATATTTTAAATTCAAATCATAGTTTAAAAACATCTAACAGGTTTTTACTTTACTGAAAAATTGTAAAATTTAAAATATTATCAATATACCTAGTTAACTTCATTTGTATACAGTAAGAAAATTATTGTTCCTGTATAATGAACATATAATACAAGATGTACCTAATTAAATAATATTAATATTTAAAATATTGTTTCGAATTTCGAAGATTGTAGCAACATTTATAAATATAAAATAATAAAAATATAATTAATTAATATGAAACTAAATAATTGAATAATTTAGTTTTTAAATTTTATACTGTATGGGATACGTATCAGTTATATAATTAATTTTACAGTTAATTATATTACTTTCTTAAAACTATTAATGAATAAGATGGTATCTATTAACATAATAAATGTTTTCTAATTTACTAATACGCATACATAATGTAAGCTTTTCAAAGTAGAAGTCGGAATTTTAAATGTGTAGACTGATTAACCAAATTCTATAAATAGTTATAACAGCAAAGCGACTCTATTTTTAGAGTGTCATCTAATCCCCAACCATATGCCTGCTAGTGTATTGATTAAAACATACAAGAAACTAAGAACACTAATTTAAAATAAGTAATGTAAAGAACAATCTAAACTTTGAATACATGAAAATATATTTACAATACCTAAATATTATATTCAAAAGTAAAAAAAAAAAAATTCTCCGACCAAATGCAAAAATATAACCTTTACACTATAATTGTATTGTTACTTATTATCTTACACAAATAAACTACTATTGTAATTTATCCACAACACATTTTATTGAAAATAGTAAACACGTAATTTTCATAGGAACAAGATTTGTACAAAATATTAAATAACACAATAAACCAAATGCCTATTAGGCATTATTACCTATATTACCTAACAGTATAAACTGGGATAAAAACTAAAAATATATAGTGTTTAAAAGATATAATAACATTGCAAAATACATATTTATTATCAGAAAGTATTTACAGCAAATAAAAGTTAAAATTAAGACATAAAATATAGATTTAAATATTTTAGATAGACAATAACCTATATATATATATATATAAATCTATTTATGAAAAATATATAAATCTATTTATGAAGAATATATAATAATCTCTCGAATATTCCATTGCTATTTATTTTATAAGTTTATTTTTATGAACTTTAATAAAATCATTTGAAAAATTTCATGAAATAAATAAAATTTGTAATTAGTTTTAAATGGTATTAAACACTTTTCATGTACAAAATTTCAATTATTTAAAAATCCAATCTACAATAAAAAAGCATATATAAAAAGGCTGTTAAACTATGTGTACCTATTGAGTACCCATACACAATACTTATTAATATTCTATAATAGTAAATGTTGTTCAAATGGTTTACATTTAATAAGTATTAACAATTAATCTGTTGGTAGAAGAATAAGTTATTTTTCCACTTTCAGAAGTTAGAATTAGCTGATTAAAACTAAATTAAAATAAAATAATATTTTTTTTTTTTTTTTTAAGAAACTGAATAAGGTAATTTAACTTGATTGACAGTTAATTATTTTAATAATAAACATCATTAATAACTTAAATTCAATAAGATTTAGGGATGATTTAAAGAAATTTATACATAGGTAAGTCTTACTCTACTCTATGCATTATTTAACATACTACATAGGCACAAAACAATCTAAGATAAGCACTTTTTTTTAAACAATAAAACAAAAACAAGAAAAATATGTTAATCAAAACAGTTAACTAAACATGTGTTACATAGATTTCATTGTGCACAAAAATATTCAAGGACACTACCAACATCTGGCAAAAATTATTTCATAACACTAATCCTAATGATACTGCCAAGACACAGTGCATGACAATTAATTCAATAACATGACAAATGGGTCTTGGGACAATATCCCATAGAAAGAACTGGGAAGCACCATAATAGGTATAGAAAACTTGATGCATAATTTACAGAATCTTTCAACATTAAGATTTTAATCACTAACAAAAAAAATTACACTTACCTTTGTTTTTCTGCTTATCAACCATCATAAAAGGTTCGTGTTTGTGCCAACTATCGGCTTGCTTAGCTCCATTACTGCCGTCCATATCTCGATTGGACGCCAGCAAACTGTTGCCGGCGCTCAAGAGCACCATTCACCCAAGCGCATCATGTTACAATAATTGTCGAGATAAAATAATGTTTGGAATTAGCGTACTGTCGATGGTACAGTGTTGCAGTGAGAATCTGTAGATGGGAAGCCGAAAAAAGAAATACATAAATAACTTTGGCATATCAGAAGAGAGGAGATGTACAAAGTATATTTGCTGTTTGAATTCAGTAATCGTTTAACAAGCAGCACAGTCGTGTCCCCCATACACACCGCAAGATTTAGCCAACGACATTGTTGCTACCCCCGTTGGCTGAACGCGGGTAAAAAAAAAAACTACCAGCCGCCGGGTGCCGTGAATGGGGCAGTTGGGTCAAAGTTCGAGGGAATAAGAAAGGAAAAAAAACACTTACACGAACGAACCGGTCGTGTCGGAGTTGGCTGATCGCTGGCTGCAAGACCACGACGCCGATATGAAGCGCAGCCGTTACGCGACGGTGGGCATGTATGCCCTTTTTAGGCAGTATCGCACGTCGGCCGGCGGTAACGCGACATGGCTCTAGGACGATCTGCTTTCCCGCGCCGATCACAACCCAGTCACCGCGACTACGCACTAAACACTATACCGATGACGCGACGCCCGCAAGCACGGTTTTCACGACGACGACGACGACCACGACCACGACGGCGAACACGATAACAGCATAACGGCAATCACGGCTGGACGGACGGCAGCCACTAGGAACGTCTCAACCGCAGGCGATGACCGTAGCGGCGAGGAGGCAGTAGAAACGATGGAGTGCGCGACGCCTCGACATGATGCAATTAATCGCGAGACGAGAACACAACGGTGCGCGTTAGCGAGACGTGAGTGTTATTATTATTACTATTATTATTATTATTATTATTATTATTATTATTATTATCGTTGTAAAATCATGTCGAATCGTGATGGATCCGAGAAACGGGGTGGAAAAAGATAAAAAAAAAAAAAAAAAGGGAAAAAAAAGGAATGAAATTCACCCGACGCAGATTCGGCAAGAGAAACGAGCGCGCGCGCGCGATAGATACGTTTATTATTTTTTCTCCTTTAATCGGTGCGACGACGATTGTTGTTTTACGGTACGCGTTATCGCGGTTCTCGCGCACGCACGCGCACGCACCACCGTCGTGGTCCTCGTCGCGCCGTCGAGCACACCGACGGCGACGGCCAGTGGCGCGTCGTTCAACTTTCGAGCGCGTTGGCCGCTGGCACGAGCTCGAGTCGTACGCGGCCACCGCCCGCGTTGCACACCGGTCACGGAAAAAAGTTTTAACTCGTACCAACGTCGACAAGGCGGTTCTTATAGGTAATGTTATAACTCGTTCGTCGCATTCGAGGAACAATGATCCAATATCGATATTATGTAACGAATCAACTTTTTACGCGCTTCTCGCGCACTGCACACCACTCTCTTTCGGTCAACGACACGTACGCTTTACGCGCGATCAGCGGATCACACTCATCAGACGCGCCCGCGGACCAGGCGTGGCTCTCGCCGTGATCGTTTTTCCAACATCATTTACGCTGCAATTATCGAGTGCACGCGTTACGAGAACGATAATAATGACCGACACGTGAGTGTGCACGTGCGGCACAACGTTTTCGAATTGTTTACCTTCCGTCGCAACGGAATAACGATAATATACGGTAACGACCGGACTTTTCTTATGGTTCGCGGACACCGAAGGGTTCGTCCGTTCCAGGGGGGGGGGTTGATTGGCTTATCTTAGTCCTATGATCGTGGTCGGTCACTGACTGCGGGGACGAGGAACCGTCCACCCGTAAACTACGTTGACCGAACCGTGATGGTCCGCGTGCGGCGGATGTCGGTAGTGCCTACGAAACGGCGAGCGCGGTTGGCCCGTCGAACGGTCGGGACGCGCCCGCATCCCAATGGTGGACGTCGTTCTATCGCCCGGCGGATGTACCGCTATCTGTCGGCCGGAGCGCGCTGGTCACCGATCAGCTGAGCACCCCCTCGCTGTGGCGTGTTGCCAAATCCCACGACTGCCCAAATTCGAGCCGCACTTGACGCTTCGCACAATAGATTCGTCGTCTGTTCCGTGGTACAAACGTTCAGGTACGCGATGCCCTGTTAATGAACGAAGACAGTAGCGAATATTGCCTTGTCCGCCGGTTCCCGTATCGGTTTTGCCCATTACACCGGTGCTCCTCGCGTTCGCGATATCGACATTATCTTTCTTTGTTATTATTATTATTATTATTATTGTTGTTGAATACACTGTTTTCTCGTACTCGTTGCGACGCCACACTACACTTAATTGGTATTGACGAGTAGAATATTATGTTGACGGAAGAGAGTCGAACGGCCGTCTGCCGTGTTTTGGTTGATAACGGTCACCATCTATACCATAATAGTCTTGTGTCGCAGTCTCGTTGATGTCTCGTCAGGAACTGGTAACGTCACAGAGTTCCCACGAACTCCGCGTAACTATCCGAAAACAGCATTTTCAATGGGACTAATGTTGCGGTAGACCAAGAGTTACTTATGCGACCAGTGCCGGGCACTTTGAGCTGTGCCGTCGCGCGTTTGCACGCCCGAAAGGTAAATACGAATGTCGATAATTTCACTTCACTACGATTAAAAAACATGAATCGTGGTGACGAATAGGTGCCCATCTACTTCAGTTGTTGTTATTATTAATATTATTATGATTATTTTGGCTAGGTCAACTTGACTTTGTTTTCCTGTTGCACCATATGTTTTTAACATCAACAATGCTATGCACAAGCACTGTATTATGTTATTCTTTGGCTGAACTTATGTTTACAAATCAAAACTGTTTACTCAACTCGGGATGTAATCAAATCAATACATCTTTTATAAGTTTAACTAACAAATAATGTAGTTTGTGATTTTGCTTCAATGAGGCTAAATTAATTGATTTGCAATAAATGCACACACCCATGTATTCAACAAATATGTTAGTGAAGTGTAATATAATATTTAGCTTATTAGAACCAAAATCCTTGCACTATATTGTTGAGTATATTATACAACTTTTATTATTCAAATTTCGTAAAGCATTATATGTAGAGCATAGGTTTATGAATGGAAATAATTATAAGTATCCATTGGATCTGTGTTGAACAAATTACTTTAAACACTTATAAGAATAATTAATATGTTATATTATTTATATATTATTAGTAATTATCAGAATATTAATCATATCCTAATGATGTTTGGGCTGTTTAAAGACTATAAATCTCCAACATTTGAATTTTAATTAAATTCTTTGTTTTGTATGATACCTATTATAATGTCATTTTGTGTAAATTATATGAATAATGCCTTATTTATTATGTTTTATTTAGTTTAGAATGGATAAAGTAAACAAATTCATTCGACCATTAGGATTCAGACGTCGTACAAGATCTGCAAGTAGTGTTGGTATGTTCTAATTTAAAATTTATGTATTACTTCACTAAATTATTCATAATTTCAACGCGTTTAATTTATTTAAGTATATCCTGGTAATAAAGCTCAAAGTGATGACTCCAGTAGTAATTCTAAAGATGTAGGAGTCTCAAGTATATATCATGTAAGAACAATTTTTTTAATTACTTGTGACTATAAATAATTTTCAAGAAATAATATGAGATTTATTTTAAAAATAGAGTGATTCTGATGATATAAGCGGTGCTCCACAACCTATTCCATTTGCTTTGCTATCAAAACACCTGATGAATTTAGAATCAGATTCTGTCAATGAAAACTTAACCCCTGGACGACCATTTACTAGAAGGTAAAATTTTAATATTTTACTTATAACAATAAAAGTGAAATTATTCATTAGTAATATTAAATATAATTATATTAGCTTGGGTTGAATTTAACTAGTCAACCAAATTGTTATCAATTCCACCGGTATTACCACTTCTAAAATCTATTTTCTTCAATTTCTTAAATACCATTACTAGTTATTTTAACTATTATTAAATCTTATTTACCTTTCTAATTATTGAAGTATAATTATATAAAAACTCATAATGAGCATTACTTAATACCTAATCATTTAAATAGGAATTTAAAGAGTCCGATTAGCGCTATGTTTGTAACATTAATAGTGTATACTGGCTAAAGTTATTTTTTCACTTCTCATATTTCATTATTACCGATGAAATATCACTACTTGTACATTAAGTTTACATACATATATATATATATATATATATATTTATTTATTTATTTATTTATATGTTATATGATTACTTTTAGAAAACGAAAGTTTAAAAAAATGATTGTTGATCCAGATATTAAATTTTCTTCTCGAATTACTAGTAGCTGTTCCTACAGTAATAATAATGAAAAAAGAAGAAATACACGCCATTCTGCTAGTATGCCAAGGTATAATATATTAAAATGTAGGTATTCTTGTCGTTTGCAATCTACCGCACACTTGTTGTCTGTCACATATGTTTTTATACATTATATGCAGTTGTACTCAAACCTGTCATCTGCCTTACATCTATATCTATATTTTAGGTCATTCCTATTGATTCAATGGCGATTAAGTATCATCTTAATGATTTAATTTCAATAACAAAGTATAGTAATAATCGTGTCTGTAATCGTAAATTTATGAGAAAATCAGTTACAGTTTAGTTTGTAGTGTTTTATTTGATACATAATTCCACAATTAAAAAACTTTAGGCATTATGTTAGCCAAACATTTTTATTCAGTTAATTAATCAAAAAAAAATACCATAGATTTTTTAAAGGAAATAGGACTTATTGAAATTGATACTCTTCGTGTTTACTGTGGCTCGCAAATTTAATTTTATACTCACAAAGAAAGAAAGAAAAAATTGAACCAAAATTTTAAGTTTTTATTACATACCTATTGACATATTATATTGTAATGTACTAATTTACCTATATATTATAATACATTAATGATTATTTTTATTTAAACATACTTGGTGATTGCATATGACCAGTAAAAATGGGTGGTAGACCTCATATAACAAGAATACAATTACAACCATTTTTTTTCTGTATTGGTAATATTATAATTGTTTGTAACATCTTAAATCATTATGTTTTAATGATTTAGAAACTGTGGATCTTTAATTTTGGCCATTGGTAAAAGAAAGCGTAGTAATCGTGAAACTATATCTGGTAGTCATCATCAAGGTTCTTCAAATATGAAATCCATGGACGTTGATGTTGCTAGTAGTTCAAGTAGTATAAGTTCTTCTGAAAGTGAAGCTGGTATATTTACCAATGATGAAGGAAGAGAAGGTAATAATAAAAAAAATGTAATGGCTTGGCTGAATGTATAAATTATTGTTAATATTTAGGAGATGATGAGCAAAGTGATTGGGTTGGAAATGCATGTGGGGCTGGAGGCGTAACTGATGATGATACTGAACCAATGAAAATTGATTGTCAAAGATTATTATCTGTTAACTTACAAAATAATGTTTTAACTGAAGGAAGAGGGCCTGGGCGTATGTCATTTTGGACTAGAAAAGTATATCTTATTACTCAATAAATTTAATTTTGGCATTATTATTTTATTGACATTTGTATGTAGGCTGGCGATAGAGAAATTCGTGGGGGTCTACGTAGAGTTCGATCAATTAAGCCAAGTTTTTCTGTTTTGACTTCAGCTAATGAAAAAGTTTCTCGTTTTTTACGAGATCCAGCACAATCTGAATTAAGGTTATTACATTATACTTATATTCTAGTTACTGGTATGTACTATAGCAATCATTTATATTTTAGATTACATCCTATGCCAAAAAATGAGCAGGATCAATTGTCACATTTAGCAGAAATGTACTCCCTTCATATGCAACTTAATGATTCCCCAAAGAAAGGAGTAACATTGACCAAAACTGAGTAAGAATTATTTTTAAGTTAACTCATTAGTGTTTTTAATTTTTTTTTTTTTTTTTTTCAATATTTTCTTATTAAATTTAAAAATATATTTATAAAAATAATGTAAATTGTCAGTGATATACTTGAATTTATTTTGTAAAAATAGGAGTTTTAAAAAAAGTTCATCATTTTACGAGTTTTATATGAGTGTTCTATCATCATCATGTGTTATTCAATTTATATGTAAAATAATATAAAAATTTGCATAATTCATGCACCTTCAGTATACATTTATGTTTAAAAAATTGAAATGTATGATAAACATTGAATTTTATAAATATTATGAAAAGACTACTTTTTTTATTAATTCTGTATTTTTCTTTATGCTATCTATTTTATTTATTTTATAATTAATTTCATGTTTTAATTTGTTTATATTTTTTTTTTTTTTTTTGGAAAAAAAGTATAATACAAAATGTAATTTATATTTATGAACTTAAGCTATGGTTTCCTAGAAAAGCGGTGCCATTATCTAGCGGCCACCATTTTACAGTTGTTACAGCCGTCTTAACGGTGATCAAACTGTGGTTTCCTAGAAAGTGGTGCGACCGCATTCAATCGTAGTTAATCAGTACTCACTCGAGCGGTAGGTCGTGCACTGATGGAAAATGGACGATCTGGACATAGCATTATTGGTATGTTTGGAGGATGAAGAGTCATCAGAAGACGAAAAAATTGTTCGGAGGAAAGTGTGATGTTCAAATATCGTGATACTAAGGGTGCATTTAAAATTTTAGTGCGTCATCTGGGCTTTTCTATACTCTTTATATTTTATATTGTATAAAGCCTCATTATCTTTTACAAAATCAATTAATAGTTCATCATTTTCGCTCGTCCAAGTCGCGTTCCCACTCATTTTATTAAATAAATGTACACAGCTACACGCGAAAAAAAAATTTTACGACTGTTTATCACCGTTATGACGGCCATCATGCAATTGACAGCACCGCTATTTGACGTTATGGTGACCATCGACATTCTCTAGGAAACCTATACCGATGGTTTACTTAGAGAACGTTTTAGTGACGTCACTTAACGCTACATTATGGCCGCTAGATAACAGTACCGCTTTTCTAGGAAACCATAGCTTTATATGATTAAAAACATTAAAAAAGCAAGGTTTTTAGCTATAATTTATAAGTACTAATTTAAAATATATTTTTCAGCAATACAATTCAAATGGATTTAGAGGCACCATTTTCACATCTTAATCCATCAAAAGATCACAAAAGAAAAAAATCTGCTTCTTCAGGTAATTAAAAAAATTAATTTATACAAGACCATTAAATTTATAATTAATCATTACAAATGGATTATTTCAGAATTAAGTTTAGGTTTACAAGCATTACATAATCAAGCATGGAGACCTTTGGTCCTTGAAGACAAACCTAGTACATTATCTCAGGATGAAAACCTAAGTCAGAACAAGTGAACCCAATTTTTATACTTTTGTCAACTAATAAGGCTGAAACTAATTGATTTAGTTGCATAGAAAATGCAGTTATAACTTGTTATATAAATGCTTATAAATGTAATTTGTCTATCTTAAACTCAGGCTCAACTATTATATTTTGTATATTTTTATTAATTGAACCAGTCATGGTTATAATTTTGACAACAGATTTATCAGATATTACAAGTCATTATTTTTAAGGGACATTTATTTATTATGCATTAATTTAGAGGTTAAAATGCTCTTGTTTTCTTTAATTTCTAAATTGTCAGTCTTAATAAAATTCTGTTGAATTTTAGTTATCATAAAATATATTGATTTTTATGTCTTGAACTTCTATTTAAACTAATATATTGTTTCTTTATGCTCTATAACTGTATATATTTAGTTTAATTTATACTAATATTCTGTCAATTTATAATCAATATTTTATTTTATTTTATATATATAATAAATTTATTCGCATGTACACATCATAAATTATTATTTAAGAACGTATAAATTTTAGTTTTAAGATTAAATATCATATATATTATTATTATATAAGAATGTATATATTTTAGTTTTAAGATT